CAAATACAGGTGTGTCTGCATGCAGCCAGTCATTTCTGGAAGAAAGTACATTTAGGAGGTGGAGTAGAAATGAAGCAGAATGATTGGAGAAGCCCAACACCCTCCCAGGAATGTGACTTGAAAAAGCAAAGGGGAGCTGCAGTGCCCCTTTGCTGCAATGGGAATGATTTTTTTTATTATTATTATCTGAATGTTTCCTCTCTCCCACCCTCCCCACTACAATTAACCTCTATTTCTGCAATATCTTTCCCCATATGTAGTTTGAGTCAAGAAATTCTCTCATGGCTTAAGTATGTTAAAGGTTTAATAAAGAGGAGACAGCTTCTCAGAGGTAGAACTCATGTTCATATTAGTAGAGAGCTCAACCCTCTTATGATTTCAACCACAGCTTTTTCAGTAACTTCAATGAGAAGAAAATTGAGATTTGTGGGAGATTAATGCCTCAGTGCACCCAAGACTGTTTTGTTTCAAAAATTTTTTGAAACAAAACAACAACCACCAGCTCTATTAGAGCTGAAGATATGATTGAGTTCCTTAAGAAAACAGACTAACCAAGATACTGATCAAGTTCAGACATATTTCCTCCTCCTCCCCCAGAAAAAGCTAATTTCTTTATCTGGGATCTGCTAGACTATGTCTAAATTATAGAGGAACCACTAAGTAAAATTATTTCTTTTGCCCAGAAAAGAATTTGCTGAACTCAAACACCCATGGGTTCTTGCATCAAACCAAAGTCACATATTTTTCACACTTACTTTCCCAAGACTAAGCAAAAAATTCTTTATAATAGCAAATTCTGTTGAGATCCATGAACAACAGAAACTGGCAAATTCTCCTTCAGGAGTTGTTTAAGATTCCTAAACCTTCTAAATACTCAGAGAGGGTAAGATTATTCAGATACCTTTGGTATATTCCTAAATATCCATGTTTTTTTCTAATTAAAACCCAAGCTTCACATCATCATTTAAAGCACATTGAAATTTTAAATTATGCCAAATGCAAAGTGATGGGGAACGGTTTTGATTTTTACTGTATATTTCTGTGTCAGTACAGACACATCAATGCAGCCTTTGTAATAGGTAAACAACTCAAGTAAGATTAACCAAGAAGCCAACAGCAACCTTCTCTATTACATTACTTGACCATTTACCTGTGGATTTACTTTTAGGTGATAATACAAACATGTTTGGTTATTAACAATAAAATGGTTTAACATAATCACTTTTTACTATTAGCCCAATAATACCTATTTAAGTGTTTATAATAGAATAGCTTCTTCCATCATATAAATGGAAACAAATATACAAGTATAAAGTACAGACTATACAAGGGTTTATAACGGTAATGTCAGAAAACAAAGAAAGTGAAAAAAACAAACAAGTGTACTGGTAAGATTTTTTTTACAAGTAGATCACTCCTTATCAGCAAATAACAGGATTAGAATCTCTTTTCTAGCTGTAGTCAATAGACACTGTTCTTTATCTAACCTAAGTACAGGAAAAACTTCACAGAGGTAAAGCAATTAACAGCTCACTTCAAATATGCATACACTGTATTAGCAAAGTTCAGAGAAATTCAATTTTACAGTTAATCCAGACTAATTCATTTGGCTCATTACCATTAGCAAATTACTGTATAAATCTTTTGCTTACAAAAAGATAATTTGGTTCTTTCAGACTACAAAGGAAAATCATCCATGATAAAAATGGGACTGCAGACTTAAAGTCTAACATTAAAATGTTCTTGCTGCAATATGTATATCTGCTCCTAGGAGGAAAGCTTCTCACATTGCAGAGCTGAGTTTCCATCTTTGTGAGCAGACTGATAGTTAATCTGATTCATTTTGTCCTATTCTGGGCTTCATATCTGTTTTCATCCTTATGCTTCAGTATTGCTGGAATGAGAACAGCTGTGAATGGGCACATTACTATCAGCACGTTCTTTGGAGGATCTGTACATGGGGTCTGATAGCAGCCTAAATAAGTCTGCTCTTATGCTGAAGAAAGGAAAAATGAAAATTTCATAATCTTCTGTCAGTATTTAGCATCTTATTTTCAACAAGATTTTCTATCATCTGCCTTGGAATTCCATCTTCTTCATTCCACAAAAACATATTCAAAGGGAATGCAAGCTGTAGCTTAAGTTAAATTAGGTAATCACATTTTCTTTTAATATACAACTTTAGATTTTATGCAGAAGCTAAACTGCATTAACATTTCTGGAATCACATCACATGCAGTAAAAATAAAATACTATCTTCTCTTCTGCTCTCTTCCTGTTCCAGGCTCTAGCTTGCTATACTCCAAAGAAGGTTAAAGTTCAGAAGGAGAAGGCAAAGATAATTTTAAGCTGCCTTAATTTCCCTTCAGGCTTAGACACTCAAGCATAAGTCATCTTTGTTGTGAATTACATTTCCAAGTTACCTACAGGCTGCTTTGCATGTTAAGAAAGCAGTGAGCCAAGAACTGTTTACCGTCTGGTCCGATATCAAACATAAGAATTCCTATAAAACTGTAGAAGTTGATCAATGAACTATATCTATGTACATCAAATCCTGAAAAAAATGGGAATTCCTATAAATAATATTTGAACAACTTATGTCTTCTGTACATAATTAACACCAAATGAATAGGTAAATTGCAATCTACCATTTTATTTTGACCCTTGAAGCAATTCTCTGATAAAAGTTTCCAACCAAAAATTCAATTCCTATCTAGAAAGAAAGTGAGGAACATGAACTGCAGGATCACAAAGAAAGAGTCACAGTTAAAATTAAGCTGAAACAAAATGACAAAAGTTGTAGTTTTCATTGGTTGTAACTGACAGAGCCACCAGTATGTTTATTTAGGATGCACTCTAGTGGACACACATGTAACAAAAAATCAAAGGAAGATACAAATGTTATGAAAACAGGGAAAGTGAAAGCCACATGTTGCAAGTAGCCATTAGAATTATTTACTAGCATGTTTTGAAATACCATCTTACAACTTGAACATATTTCCTAATTAAATATGAAGGCTGTATGATGGCTGAAATTTTCATAGTCAACATGACATAAAATGTAAATGGACACAAGTTACTCACCAATTTTTGGAAAGTTTAACCTAAATAATGAGATTCAGTTATTCATACTAACTTAAAAGAGAAACTCCTATCTATTTATCCAGTTACTCCATCCCTTTGAGATTGGCACAAGAAGCTGCTGTGCATACAGTGTTAATAAGTGTAATTAGAACTGTAGTATCTTAAAATGCAGCCTTAAAATGATACTGTTTTAATTGTTACTAATAAATATAATCAAAAACTGACTAAATTGGTTTGTTGGAACATCAACCATAAGGGCATAATCATTTCACAGAAAAGATTCTTGCCTGTCATAGACATTGCAAACTTATACTGATACAGAATATAGATAGCAAAGCCTGACCCATCTAGTCAAAAAAATAGCTCCATTTTTCATTACCTAAAAAGTTACACAAACCTTTCTAATTATTTAAACCTGGAGAGTAACATTTTTCTCTTTTGGTTCTAAAGATATTCATTTAAGACATGCTAATTAACACCATCCAAAAAGCAATATGGCAATAAAGAGGGCAACAGGATTTTTTTTAATAAGCATACTTTATTTTTAAGCAAAAAATAATATTACTATAGTAGAAATCAATAGTACTTACCTTTTTAAAAATAGATAGGATTACATCTAGTATGAGGCACATGAATCAAACAACTTATCTAGAGCAGAAAAATATTTATTGCATGCTTGACCTTTGCCTATTTGGTATATAGATATTTTTAACATTTTGCCAAAGACAGCAAAACCCTTAAAGCTAGCTATAATATAAACAAATTAAAGTGAAATTATCCCAAAAATCTTTCATCCCAAAACTGAAGAATTCAGTGAATGCACTATGCTCTGAATTTGTAATGATGAGTATTTTCATTATACAATATTGGAAATGACTTAATGTTAATTGTCCAACTAACCTGTATTATTAGAAAATAGTGACAGGTAAAGGCATGTTTTAGCCAAGAAGCATGAGATTTCTTAATGCTGGTGTCTTTTCCATTTATAACAAACAGACACAGAACATTCTTGACAAGCTGGAATAAGATATCAGTAGTTACAGACATTTGTTCTTATACAATCTAATGCAATCTTTAAGGATTAGAAAAATTATTTTTATAGGTTAATATGGATCAGGCTAAATAGTCTTCAATTTTTTTTTTTAAAGTGAAGCTTGGAGAACTAATAATGATATTTAGAAAGAGACAACACAGATGTAATTTATTGAATTGCAAATTCAAGACAAATGCAGGAAAGATTATTTTAAAACTTGACTAATCAAAACACTGATATGCAGATGCTTGCAGCTCATCTAATATCAGGTTATTATAAAGCCTAGACCAAATACATTACAAAAAACACCTCGTGATTTCTAAGAGATCTTCTAGTACATCTGTCTACTGAGTCACATGAGTTCAATTTCTCTTACAGATTTTCTTACAGATTAATTACAGAAAAATCTTCTGATTTGATTTCTCTATCTAGTTTGATATGCAGAACTCTTTTCATCTCTTAGTCTATAGAGCATTCTTTCTTTCTATCAGAAACCATTCAAATTCTTGGAAAATCCTTTTTTAATAATCTTCTTTTTAATATTGATTCAAATTATCATATTGTAGCCCTTCAAAATAATCTTGACATATTAGTTATATCTATAATTATTACATTGTTACATTTCAAGAATCAAGGAGCAATAACATATATTTACCACTCATTTCACTTGTGGTTTTCTTCCTCTGAGTCAGCCATGCTAGCTACAATGGTTTAAGAACAAAAAGGAAGCATCACATGCCAGAATTAACAGACTTTATACAAACACCAAGAAAGCACAGAAACTGAAACAACAGGTATGTACATCAATTCTAGAAATAAAATACATGAATGAAGACATACTTCAGGATCAGCAAGTAATGAGTAGAAAATATATTTACTGCTTTCAGGTCAGTTGGGAACTTTCTTGTTCTGATTCTGCCATGAGATCTGTTATAGTCTAAAAACAGAAAAGAAATTCTGTCAGTTGCCAGCATTAACTGAACTTTGTAAAAAGAAAAAAGGGAAAAGAAAAACAAAAACTCACATGACAGACAAGTTGGCATTCAGCAATATGATTCTGCATTCGTCCATTCAGTGAAATACAATTAAGTTTACCATCAGACTTTCATTATTATATATATCCATCGAGTCTGGATGAAGTATTATGATTCTTACAACAGAATAGTTTCAATAGTAAAAGTCTATATATTTTCATTTTATTGATCTGTTCTTAATTTGTAGTTTAACTTAAACATATTGTAAAACCTGAAACAACATCACCAACGGCCAATGTCATCCAACTTTAAATGATTTTTGGCATGAAAACTTGGGAGATGGCACATATAAGGAGAAGCAAGTAAGTTTGCTACTCATTTTCACTTCTGGTTTTGCAAATCACTTATTTAAAAACACATTAAATATGCCTGAAGCCTCAAGAATACTTTTTAATATGTAATTATCAGAAAATTATAAATATTGGGGCTACACAAGACCTTAGAGAACTCATGGGATTCACCTTAGTGAAAAAAACACCTGTGAAAACCTGACCCTAAGAATACTCACAAGTATGTTCATAAATGTATTTAGAGAACATTTATAAAACAGGCTGTTATTAAAGTAACCGTAAGCATAAAGCATATTAATATCACAATATAAATTCTGAGCTAGAATTACACCACTAATACCAGAAATTAGATCAAATTAAGGCTAATAAAGAAAAAAGGATTGTGATAATGATGTACTAAAACTAGTATATCAAAATCTCAAGTCATACATTTGGAATACTCCAAGTGTAACAAGTCAGACATACCAGTATCTTTATGACCAGTGAATACTCAAAGCTGCATGATTTTGCAGGAGTTAGCAGTATCTGTTAAATACACCACCATGCCTTATAACAAATGAAAGCTAATTCATGGCCTCTCATTTCCCTAGACTGTCCAGTATAAAAGGAAGGAGAGAAAAAAGCCAAAAGAATAAGCTGGGCATAGAAGATGTCTGAGGATCACAATATAGAGCCACAATTGTAGTACTGAAAGCAGCACACATGTTGACACAGGGCTCAGATAACCTGATTCTCAGCACATCTTAGCCCTAGTGAGCACTGTGTGTCCTGACTATCTGGTCTTTTATGTTAAAATGTTTGCTCAGATATCTGTGCACAAGAGTACATTCTGCTGCAAAAAAATACTTCAACCAGAAAAATATAAATAACTTTAATCACTCAAGTCATCTATTATTTAGTAGATGTTGTATATGACTATCTGTTCACATGGCAAAGGAAGGCTGCCTGCTGTCTGAAAAATATTCATACTTTAATTTGTAACATATCTGAATACAAAAGGACATTTAAAATCTTGAGGATTAAGTCAGCCAACACCATAGTCTTTTAGAATGGCTTAACTTGTACCAGAGAACAGGATAAGGACAGTTTGGACGTTGTGGCCAAAACACCATCCCTTAAAATTATAGGGGAGAACCAGCACAGTCTTAACTGCAACAGTTTTAACCTTTGCTATGTCAGCACAGAAAAGCAAATCTCTAAGAATCAATAATTTATTATCTCCCTGTTCTTTCTAAACACTTACCTCAAACTGTCCATTCTCATCTAGCTCCTCAACTGTGGTCAAATTAGGTGCCCCAGGTCTATCTGTAAGTTCAGCTATAGTCTTTCCATTTTCCTATGATAATGACAGCCAGCTTTCAGTTAAAACCATTCCATGTCATGAATAATTATCTACAGAGAATATTTCAGATGTGTTAAAAGTGATATTATGTATTAATACAAAGATAATACTTCAGATGCATGCTATACAAATGTGTTAGTATGTGACTATGGTCTTTGTGTGCTTGTTAACACTATTTTAATCAGTTTTTTTAAGTAACAGGAATTTCACTTTTAACTTCTACATTCTCATTTTTCCTGTCACTTTCATACTGTCATCTTTCTACAATGTTGTGTCAGTATTTTTACTGAGAGGTCTAAAAACATACAGTATGACTTGCTCCACATACATTTAATATTCACATTTAAAAGCTTTATTGATATAAACATGCCAATTATCAATTTATGTCTTTACTGAAATAGCATTAAAAGACCATACATTTACACAGCCATCTGTATACACATTCTTTTGTTAGTATAAATTCCTGGGCTCCAAGAGGATTTCAGAATCAAGAGGCATCCTAATTTGAAACCACAGTTTGTTTTCCAGTTACAGCAAATGGACTTTGCGTTAACACACAGTAAAACATTACTGTCTAGACACTTCAATTAGACATGCTTAAGTCATAATACTTTCTCATAAATACCATCAAGGAACATGAAAGCATCAACAAGGCTGAATTTACACTAAGTTTTGCAACAAATTTATGCTCTGTTTTGAATATGTATTACATAAATCTAATAGAAAAGACCAAAAGTCAAGTATAAAACCCAGACTGGAAAGTAAGGTGTTAGACATCCCTCTCCCATTTTCACAATTTTTTTTTAAATGGTTCAATACTCATGGGCTTCTGCCCTGTGCTTTGTATTTAGTGCCTGCATCTGGAAAAGGCAGCTGATACACAGTGTTTTCAAATCACTGACTAAGCTTTGACATAGTCTAGTGGAGGGTGTCCCTGCCCACAGCTGGGGGCTTGGAATTAGATGATCTTTAAGGTCCCTTCCAACCCAAACCATTCTATGATTCTATGACTTAAACCTCTTGATCTTTCTGCTGCAACAGCATTTCATCTTCATTCTGCAGTTCCAACTTCTCACGTTCTTGTTCCAACTGCCAGTTTAAGAAAGGACAAATTAGAAGGAAAAAACCCACATGATCTTCCCCACCCCATTGCTTACAATGTATTTCACAATTGAAATCTTAAATAAAATAAAAAAGGAAGCACAAAACATAACTGCAATGTTAGTAACACAAAGCCCCTTCAGTATCACCTGATTCAACATTTTCACAGGTTTTAGACTCGCATGGATAGAAAGGCTTTACTACCAAGAGGAAGAAGAAATAGACAACTGAAGTTAGCATACACACTTAAGATGCTGTCACATTCCTCATGCTCTTTAGCAGTCTATATTCATTATCTCCTATACTTTGGATTAAGCTCTCTGATACTTATGGTATTTTGCACAGACAGATGAATCCACATAGAGTCAAATCTATAGAAAAGATTGGTAAGCAATGCCATTAACATTAATCATCATCATCAAACTTTACAACTTCCAATTGGAAATATCTAATACAAATTGTTTGTTATTTGGGAGCCTAAGTCCTATTGAATCAAAACTGCATAATCTAAGAGTTCACATTCAACAACACTAGGGCCTAGAGAATACTGTTTGCTGTAGCATTTTGTGACCAGTTACTACAAACATTGCCAAATTGTAGTAACTAGTTTTCACATTCCTGTTTGGTATGTAAAATCAAAACAAGCCTGAGTACAAGACTATAGCCAAAACTATGAGTTAGGTTAAAAAAAATGCATCTGAGTATTGTTCAACATCTTTCCCTCAGTTTAGATGAAATTAAATATTTCTCTGTGAATTATCTCTAGATACAATCTCATAGCCTTGACTCCATTTACTATTTTAAATAACTTACAAAATCCTTAAACAAATAACTGTTGGTCTGCAAATTAGTAAATCCCAAATTTAAAAAGTGCAAATAAAATAGAATGACTGCATCTTCCACTAGAACTGGGCTTAACAAGATTGGCACAGATTTAAAATTAAACTTTTGATTTTAACATCATGAAAGTCAGCCATGTAAAAAAATCTTGTCAGACAATGTGAACTTTACCACAGCAACAGATGCTGCTACACATCTGCTCGAATTCATGTGATTCCTTTACAAAGGACAGATGGAAACACATATTACCTCTGTTTCTCAGATTTCAAGTCCACATAGCATAGAATATATATATTCTATGTATAGAATTTAAATTGTTTTATACCAACAGAATACTCAGGTAGCTAAGGAAAGAAAGAGGCATCTCATTGGATCAAGCTATAAAAACTGCTTGAATATGCAATCTTCATTCACTGATTCGCAATCATTTTCAGGACTCTATAATTGTGTATGCATTCACATTACTTTTTTTGTCTTACTTATATTACATTCAAGTAGCTTTAGACAATGATCAGTTATTACTCCCAGGCCTCCCAGCAGGCCTGCCAAAAATATTTGCAATGATTTCTAGCTTTATTTGCACCAGCTCTTGTTCATAATTAACTACAGAATACAGTATACTTATTTTAAGTTACTTCTCATGCAAGACTTAAATTGCTTGCTTTTTACCTTAGACTCTTAAATTATTTTTTATAACATTTTACTACATACTACATAAGTTTTCCTTCCCATGTGCTGACTAATCATTTCAGTTATTATTTACTAAGGTGAGATTAAAATACTTGTTTTACGCTACCTTCGATCAAAATCATTATACCAAGATTAGAAGTATACAGAGTGCTAAAAGATGCCACACCATCATACACTATTTATAATCATTTATTCTTAAGTATTATTAACCTGACATTGTTCTTCAAGTTTCTGCTGGAACATTAACTCTTCTTCCTTCATTTTTCTTAACATTTCAAGTTCTACCAGGGCCACCTCCCGTTCTTGTTCCAGCTCAATCCTCTCCAACATTCTCTATTTCAGAGATAATACAAAATCAATTTAAAAAAAGATATTAAATAGCATTAATTATGTTTCATGAATCTTTTTGCCCAAGATGGATTCACCTTTTTTTCTTCATCTAAATTTCTTCTGTAATTGTAAATCCAGTGTGCCAGATACTCTATTGGATCTGCTGGCCGATGCTCTACAACCTCTGCCAGTCCCTCTTTCAAACAGCTTCCCAAACATCTCTTCAGATACTGAGACTCCATCCACACCTACTAACAACAAACAGACAGACATTAGCCATCAATATGAGAACTAAACCCAGGTTTTTAAAAATTATTGCCTCAGGCACAAAAAACTGAATACAACATGATTTTTTTATTAACCTGACAATTAATAGCAGCAAGTTCCTTAAATTTAATATTGGTTTAGTTCTTAAAAACTCTAGTGATATATTAGTTACATTGAGCACTACAGGGAAAAAAAATGCTCAAAACCTCCCTTACTATTTAGACAAAGATAATTCAGAAACTGCTCGGAATTTGTAAGCCAGCATGATAGCAAAAAAAACTATCAAAAGCACACCAGTACATAGAAAACTTCTATACAGACACTTGAAGAACAGCAAAGTAGTTCTGTAAATAATTAAATACAAATTTTTAGTCTGAACTAACAAAGCTATCTTTAGGATATGTATGCAAGATAAGGACCTGAAACAATCACTCTATATAGCTATGAAAGCAACAAGTCCCTACACACACACAAAGTTTAACTGCTCCTGTATTGGTAAACACATAACACACCCAAAATTCTATTTCTGTAACACTGAAAGACCCTTCAGTTGCTTTCAATGAGACTAAATCCATGCCACACAACCCTTGTTCAGAACAACCAGACCCATCCAACAGTACCCCACCCCCCAAAGCACACAACTCCACGCCACTACCTTCTTACTACACTGTGCAAAACACCACACGTGTAAAACTTCTCCCACCCGACCATTTTCACCTGGAGCCTCCACCCACGCCCTCTGCCCCCGGGCTCCATTTAAGCCCGGGCTGGGACCTTCACCTCTCCTCAGAGCTACGTGCTGGCTACGTCTATCCCTAGTTCTGCTCCGGTAGTGTTGTTCCTATTTCCTGGGCAGACCTGGCACATGACCTCATCTCAACCAATACTCCATAGACCGTCGCTAAGATCTGGTGCTGTCACCACCCTGTCTCAGGTGCCGTGGGGCAAAGGTAATTATCTAGCCTGCCTTACAGCCATCCTTAGCTCCTCACGCTCACCTTCCCTCAGAGGGCCACCCCATTCCAGCTGCTCCCTGGTATTAGCTCCCGGAGTCCCGAGCGTGTCTCCAGGACGGCAGCCTGCACCACACTCGTCCACCCCGCTCCTCCTGCCTGCCCGCCCCCGGCCCAGCGGCTGTCGGGCGCCTCCTCACCCGCTCCGACGTCGCTCTCCTCACAGAGAGTCGAGGGAGGCGCGCACCGCCCCGGAACGCGTTGGGTTGCTAAGCAACACCGCTCGCGACCTTTATGTAGCCGGCAGGAGGCACATGATTGGAGGAAGGGTGTGGCGTCACAGCGGGGCAGTGCCGGATGGGCGGTGGTGAGGTCTGGGGTGGTGTCCGGCAGCGGGGGGAAAGCACCGGCCTCCGCCGAAACGGGGTGTTCGCTCCTGCTCCTCGGGGTCTTCCTAGGGACAAACCCGCTCCAGATGTGTTTAACGTCATCTCTCCGTGAACAGTTCCCTGTCAGAGGGGGCTTACACAAAAACGAAACACACCTGGAATCAGTCCTGATGCAGTATGCTGGTAACGTACAGATACTTCGATTTAATTTAAAGACTCAGCCATACCTATGTAGATAAAGACTAGCAAGCAATTTAAGAAAGAAAATGTTCTTGCAAGTTTAACGTGAGGAACCCGAGCTAACGCTGGATGGGGTTTCGTAGGCAAGGACAGGGGGCCTTCGAAACAAAGCTGTGATCTCCTGTACTTGAAGTTAGACTTCCAGCATTAAAGTGGAGTGATCTTTTTCTCGTCACTGACAAACTTACTACCTGACATTCACCTCAAATTTGACGAGCTGTTCGTTTTACTGGCAACTCTTAGTCAGGTATTGAGAAAAGCTGCAAATAATTGCAGCTGAAGGAATGAATTCAGCGTCTGAATCAATTCTGAAGCCTAGCTCCGTTAACGTCGTCTCGGTCTTTCTCTATTGGAAGCGAATAGATCGCGGAGTGAGGTCTTGCCAGAATGAAAGACTGCGTCGGAGTGATGAGGCGTACAGCTGATAAAACGGATTTTTGAAAGGTAAGGAGCTGGTGTCGGTATTTTGTATCTAGGACGTAATAGGTGGCATTACTGCTCAGGCCAGAGGGTGCCGCTGGCGCTCTGCGAACACGTTTCACAGGCCGGCAAAGCCGCCGCCGCCCTTAGCC